CCATCTCGCATGCTTTCCACCCTCCTACCTGTAAGCCGGGATTATTTTGTAACAAATCTAAATCATATCGTTTCATCCATAGTTATTTTGGTATGTCTCTCTAAAATATATGGACTTTTTAAACAGCCAAATGCTATTGTCACACATTAATATTAATAATTATGACATAATTATTAATGCTAACACTCTAGTATCAAATATCTAGTGTTAAAAATAACTTAGAACTAAATTTAAAAAAACTAATACTCCAGAAAATTTAGGATATAAGAAAATATAATCCTGCTGTCCTTGCGTAGCTGATCTTAGTGTTTTGGAACATTCTTATTGTCACACAGACACATATGTTTTATGTTAGTTGTGCTCATTTCCCCAAGATAGTAAATATTCTTTGTAATAGGCTACATGATATTTCATAAAATGAATGTTTGTATCATAATTTATGAACCTTTTGATTTTTGCTAGTATAATTAATAGTGCAATGAATAGTCCTTGTTCTGACTCTATGCCTCAAATCTTGCATCATATCTACTAATTATTCTGAGGATGTCAGATAGAGTTAAAGAATATAAACATTTTTTAGGCATTGGTACAGATTTCTAAATTGCTGTCCAGGACAGTTTGCAAATAGTATTTCACCGTGCTCATTTCACACTTGTTTTTTTGCCAGAATAAAATGGTTCAGACAGACATACTTTATAGAGAAACTACAAAATTTTTAAGTAGGTCTAAGAAAAAGAAAGTACTTCTAAAGTATAAAAATGAGTCCCTTTTATTTAAAAAGTGTTTGTAGATTTTTTAAATTAAAAATGGGAAACCTGCAATAAATTAAAGTTGATAGTAGAAAGGATAATGCAGTAATATTCCGTAAAGACTGAGTAAATTAGAACAAGCACAGTGCCAGCAGTAACCAATGCCAGTGTTCAGTTAACCTTGTACCTTTTAAAATGTTTGAGCCGTCAGGCTTTTCCTGATTGGAAGGAAGGTGTGTAGTGATGGTTTCTAGCTTCAGCTTTTGATCTTCTGCCTTCAAGTTTGACTTTGAAAATACTGGTGGAAACAAGAGAACTGGAGAATATTTTATAGTCACGTGTTGCTGAGAGGAATTAAGAGCTAATTTTTTGGTGTTTTCTTTAACATTGTCTAGCATTCAAAACCTTGTAGGTCTCATAAGTAAAGGAGCTGGGAAACTAATATTTGCCTTCCACTAGAATTCCTGATTCTAGGGAAGCCTAGATGGGTCCTTGTGTCTCTAGATTCTGTCCTTGGGAACTTGGTTCTAAGGTTATCAAGCTAACTCTTTCTTCCCTCTGACTGACCCTCTCCTAACTGACTCATGCCAACTTGTTCATTCAAATTTAGTGTTGTTTATTTCTGTACAGTATTTGAAGCTTCATATTTAATGTAGTAACCACAATATTCATACATCAAGCATAAAAATACTGTTAAAAATATACCTGTTAAAAGGTCATAGTTTATGAGTTGTGAAATATTTTCATAGACATGATATTTTTTTCCTAGTAGTAATTTCCAAATCCTTTTTAACTATCGTAAAACTCCAAGCAAAACTCTCCTGTGTTAGCAGTGTCACTGCAAAACCTGCTTTAACTCACGTTATGAGCATCAAATTAGACAATGTGTATGAAACTGTTTTGTAAACTGTAAAGTATTCTAGGTATGTTTTTAGCATTATTAATGTCTACTCCAGGTGTTGCTCTGAAATGATGGAGATTCATTCTTTCTGTCACTAAAAAATTGTTTCCCAGCAAAGAGGGAAAAAGATACTGTTTACATGGTGGATTGCTATGATTTTTTGATTGCTTAATACTTGACCCACGACTTCAGTTTATTGGGGTTCAATTTAAGAGACAGAAACTACTAGAGGTGTTTTGAGCAGAAAGTACTTAGTACAGAAATTAGGGATTAAAGTCTTAGGAACAGCTGGAGGTACAGGCTCTGGGCCAGGCCTCCAGGATCCCAAGGACCAATTTGTTGGGAGAGCAACAGCCACTGCCTCAGTTAGGATGGTGGGGAATCAGGATATCAAGTCTAAGAACACACTGCTGTAGCGGTGGCCCTAAAAGCAGGATGCTGTCACCACAGGTACCCAGACTTGGGACCATGAAGGCTAGCCCCCACAGTAACTGCCATGAAGCAGAATTCTGGGGTTGGCATTTGTCAGCAGACTTAACCAAAGCAGCAGGAAGATGGCTGTAGCTCACTTCTGTCTTTTAAATATCATACAAGTGCTTCACTGGCTGCCCAAATTCTAGCTAGAAAGCAAGGTAAGACATGTTTTTTTTTTTGCTTTCCAACCTCTGTCATACTGAAAGCACATTAGAAGGCACAGTGGGAATGGATGCTGATTGCTACTTGAACATATTCCATCGCATAGTGTCATCACTTATGAAAGGTGTCAAAATTGTTTCAATTTATGTACTTTTCACTTTCCATAGGTTAAAGTAGAATACAGAGTATCCCACTGAAGTTGTCTCACCTATCACTCCCTTACATTCTGACACACTTTTTTGGCTGTAAGGAGAGGGCCTGGAGATGTACCTAATGTATTTCCCTGTACATCAGTGTGGTACATACACATCATAGCCTTCCTTGTGCTCTGTTCCAGAATTGGGATACTAATGGGAATATACTGACTATGTGTACATCATAAGCTCATGTAAATGTCAATATGCTGTTGCAAAGACCAACAGAGAGAAACTGCAATTCCCACTGGTTGAATTTTCTTTGTTGCTCATATTTAAAACATAAGACTAAGAGGAACCCTAAAAAAAAGGCTATTCTATTAATAGTATTGCTGGTAATTTTAAAGTTCTGGCTACTTTAAAAATCTTCTGTACATTTATTGAAAGCTATGGCTTCTCAGATTGTCAGCTATTTAAAAGTTCTGTAATTTTCAGCATATATATATATATATGTGTATATATCTGAAATAACCTTGAATTTACATAAAAACAGAATTAGTTCACAGAACTCCTTATACTCATCACCAAGATTCCCCAGTTGTGAACATTTCTGAACCATTTGAAAATAACTTCCATTAAGCTCTCAATACTTAAGTATATATTTTCTAAGTACAAGGACACTCCACATATTTTCCTCATAGCTATCATGTTTAAATGTTTTAAAATGTGGATTTTTATGACAGTTTTTCCTTTTGAATAAAATACAGGGAGAACTGATTTTAATGCAGTAGATATCACTGAAACTTGATAATGCATAGTTATTTCCATTTCCTTTCATACATCATGTATTTGGTGAATGCCTATTATGTGACAGGCAGTTTTAGGCACTGGGGAAACAAGTTTTGTTCTATTGTTAGCTTACACTAAAGAAGGAGATAGACAAACAGAAGAAAATCAGGTGGTGATAAGATTAAATGAAGTGATGAGGGAGAATGCCAGAGGGCTCCTTTAGGTGAGGTGGTCAGGAAAGTTATCTCTGAGGAAGTAGTGAAGCTCAGATGTGAATGACGAGAAGAATTCTGCCAACCAGCCATGGGGAGACCATGTTAACTTGCATGATATTTTAAGATGCTTTATCTTCTTCAAAGGTGCTTATTTTCAGTGACTTCCAATAATATTAAGGATCTATAAACCAACACATTTGTATAAAGTAGCTACCAGTGAATTATTTTGTATATGTATTGTTTTGTGGTGAAAACACCCACTATTAATTTGTGTGATTAATTCAAGCTTTGTTATCTAGGTTTCTTAGGTTCAGCACTGTCATACTTTCAAGTAATACGTACCAGATGGCTCCTGCGATTTTTTGTGGTGTTCACACCAATGACTCTTATTTTGTGAAACTATTTGTTTTCCATGTGAATAGTTCTTCTCATGGCATATTTATTCTTAGGGTTTATTTTTATAATGTTAATTCTCCTGCATGTTGCAGGCAGCAGCAGCGGGACCCGCCAGGACAGCCTTCACACCCATGTGAAAAGCCAACGACAAGTTCAGGGGCCCTCAGCGGTGATCCAGGTATACCTCTCTGACCGTACATCATGCTTGTTACCTGCACAGTCTGACACAGCCTCCTTGTGATTTCAGCTTTACAGGTTTTGTTTTTCTCCTCTCTTCAATTGTATGGAAACTCTTGAATGATTTTGTCATCTACTACAATTGTAAATTGTAAAATTTTCTAGTTTAAGGAGCAGGCCAACTAGAGCACTCAACGACTGTTTGCTTTAAAATTATACATAATACTTGCAGCTTCATAGTGAGTAGTTCATTCTCCAAAAGTTCCTCAGGGATAATGAATATTAGAAAGTGGAAAATAAATACATTTTACCACCAGGAACACTAAAAACACCTGAGTGTAGTGTAAATAACAACAGCAAGTCTAGAGTTACTTATCAACCCTTGTGTTTAATAGGTCTTAAACGTTGGCCAATTACTGGTAGTAGAAGTTGAGTGAAAAAGAAACTGTATAAGACAAAGGACTTATAAGCAGAACATGTAAACAGCTCTTAAAACTGAAATAAAACTCAAATGAGTGAGGGATTTGAATAGACAGTCCACCAGATAAAATACATGGGTGATAAGTAAGCACAAAAAAATATGCTCACCATCATGAGCCATCATTAGGGAAAGGCTAACTGAAACCACAATGAGATGCCATTATAGAACTCTAATAATGGCTTAATACAAGATATTCATCAACAGATAAATGAATAAAGAAGATGTGGTACATATACACAATGGAATATTATTCAGCCATAAAAAGAAAACCATGGATGGATCTAGAGGGTACTGTGCTCAGTGAAACAAGCCAGGCAGAGAAAGACAAATACATATGATTTCACATATTTGTGGAAAGTAAAAACAAAGCAAAATAGAAGGAATGAAACAGCAGTAGACTCATAGACACTGAGAAGTGACTAGTGGTTACTAAGGGGGAGGGCTTGGGGTGGGTGAGGGGGATAAAGGGGCACAAAAATTCGCAATCACAATAAAAGTTGGTCACAGGGATGGTAGTACAGCATGGAGAATGTGGTCAGTGACTCTGTAACATCTTTCTACATTGATAGGTAGTAACTGCAATAGAGAGGGTGAGGATTTAATAATATGGGTAACTGTTGAACCACTGTGTTGTACATTTGAAACCAATATAAGATTGTATATCTACGATCCTCCAATAAAAAAATTGTTTTAATTAAAAAAAATAATGACTTAATAAAAAAGGAAAACTAACAATACCAAAATGCTGGCAAGAATCAGAACAACTGGGACTATTGTTGTTAGTAGGAATGTAAAATGATACAGCAACTTTGGAAAACAGTATAGTATTTCCTGATAAATTTAAATGTGCACTTAACAGTGTGATGCAGTTGTCACACTCCTAGGATGTAACCAAGACAAAAAGAAGACAAGTTCCAACAAAAACTTGAATGTGAATACTTACAGCAGCTTTATTCATAATTGCCAAAAACTGGAAACTACCTTTAAATGCTGTCCTCCAGCTGGTGAGTGGATGTGCAAACTGTGGTACATCCAAACAATGGACTCCTGTTTAAAGGAACAAACTGACACTCTTCCGTACTCCTGACTAACAATCCTGGACATTTGTGTAAGATGAACAGAAGAGAAACCTGAATGGTAAAAAGAGGACACACCATCTAGGAAGCTCAGGACCAGGCAACAACACAGTGGTGTGTAGACTTGGTTTTCGTTTGCCTCATGTATCCTGGACCTGGTACTGGAGAAGCCATGGGTTCAGACCAAGTAAAAAGGGACCGTCTAGCAAGATAAAAACTTTAGAGGATAATTAATCCAGCCAAACATGACTGGGTAAATAAACTGGTCCTGCTGCCACCCACCCTGCCAAGTGGGAACCTAGACTTGAATCCCCACCTGGCAGTAAAGAGGTGCACCCTCCCTTTTCCCTGGCCAGCATGGTGTTAGAGAAAGCCAAGGCGTGAGCTGGGAGTTTCATTCCCTTCAGAAGACAGTGAGACCTCCTTTCCCATGGAGTCTCTGGTCATCGGGAGCCTTGACTTCTATCAAGGAATGAGGAGGCATCCCTCTAACTTCTCACCTGGATGGTGTCAGAGGGGGCCTAGTGGAGAATCAGGACTGTCACTGATTAGAGGTAGTAACAACACCATCCCCCTGGTGTCAGTGAGAAGCAGTAACAAGGTATTCCTACCCTTTCTAGGCAGAGATTTCAAGGGAGGACAGTGGGAAGCCAGAAGTCCGTGTGTTCAGCAATGGTGATCACACCATCTTTTCCTGTCTGGAAGCAGCAAGGCAGTACCTTTTCCTCCTCCAGAGCTGTGTCAGGAGAGGCCTGCTAAAGGAGAAAATTTAAATAAGAATCACAGTCTTGTAACATAATAGCCAAAATGTTTGGGATTTAATCAAAATCTTTGCATACCAAAAGCCAGGAAAATTTCAACCTGAATGAGAAAAGACAGTAGACACTATCATGGAGATGACATGGATGTCAGAATTATCTGACAAGGATTTTTACTGCAGTCCTCGTAACAATGCTACAGTGAACAATTATGAACATGCTTGAAATAAATGAAAAAATAGAAAGCCTTAGGACAGAAATAGAAAATATAAAGAAAAATCAAATGGAAAATTTAGAACTGAAACATAACAATAACTGAAATTTAAAACTCAGTGGAGGTACCTGACAAGTAAATGAGGGACAGAGGGAAGAACCAGTGAACTTGAAAACAGAACAGTAGAAATTACCCATTCTGAGCAACAAAGAGAATTAGACTGGAAAAAATTAACAGAGCCTCAGAGACCTGTGGGACTATAATAAAAGATCTACTATATGTGCCATGGGAGTCCCACGAGATGAGAAACAGGGTGGGTCTGAAAAATACTTGGAGAAATAATGACTGAAAATTCCCCAAATCTGGCCAAAGATGTAAACCTACAGATTCAAGAAGCTGAGTGAACCTCAAATAGGCTGAAAGTCAATGAAATCCATACCAGGACACATCATAATATAACTTCTGAAAACTGAAGACAAGAAAAAAAAATCTTGAAACCAGCTAAGAGCACCTCATCTATAGCAATTTGCATGACAGTAGATTTCTTTTTAAAAAAAATTTTTTTACTAAGGTATGACTGATATACACTCCTACGGAGGTTTCACATGAAAAAACAATGTGGCTACTACATCCACCCATATTATCAAGTCCCACCTGTACCCCACTGCAGTCAGACAGTAGATTTCTTATCTGAAATCATGGAGGACAGTAGGGAGTGGTACCACATTGTTCAAGTGTTAAAAGAATTTTCAACCCAGAATTCTATATCCAGAGAAAATTTCCTTCTGGAAAAAAGAGAAAAATTAAAGAATTTTTCACCAGCAGACCTATCCTAAAATAAGAGTCAAAGGAAATTCTCTAAACAGAAATAGTAAGAGTTAATTTTGGAAAAAAAGAACACTAGAAAGAGTGAAAATGTGGGTAAACGTGGTAGCCTTTCTTTTTGAGTTCTAAATTATGTTTGATGACGATTGGGGTTTTAGTGGGGGGGGAAGCATTTAAGGCAGTTATGAACAGGAAGAATAAAGTGATGTAAGGAAGGTTTCTACATTTCATGAACCGGTACAGTAACCACTCTTGAAAATATTTCTTTAAACACTGAACATACAACCATACAACCCAGCAGTTAACACTCCTGGGCATTTATCTCAGAGAAATGAAAACTTAACCATCCATGCAAAAATCTCTACACGAATTTTTATAACAGTCTTATTTGTCAAAATCAAGACCTGGAAACAACCAAAATGGCCTACCGTAAGTGAATGGTTAAACAAACTGTAGTACAGCCATCCCGTGGAATACCACTCTGGATTCAAAAGAAACCAACTGCTGATAAATATGGCAACTTAATGAATCTCAAGGGCATTATACTAAGTGCAAAAAAAAAAAAAAAAACTCAGATGGTCTCATACTGTATGATACTATTTGCATGACATAAAATTGGAGGGATGGAGAACAAATGGGTGGTTGCCTGCAGTTAGGGAAGGTTAGGGGAAATGAAGTAGGTATGAATGTGAAGGGATACCAGGAGGGAGCTCCTTGTGGTCCTTGAACAGTTTGCTCTCTTGTGGTTGGTGGTGATTACAGAAAGCTATAGGTGTGACAAAATGATACAGTGCTACATGTAACATTGTACCAATGGCAATATTCAGGTTTTGGTGTGAGCAGTAGTTTATGTAAGATTTAACTACTGGGTGATATTGAGCTGAAGTGTACCTAGGAACTCTCTGAACTATCTTTACAACTTCCTGTGAATAATTAACTTCAAAAGAAAATATGTCTTTGAAAGTAATTAATTGTTGATATACACCAAAAAGTTAAATCTTCTTTCACTTCGCACATTGTATGTGTTCTGAAATACAAAACAAATGCCTTGTGCTAAGTTAAAGAAGCCTAGCTAAAAGGGCTACATACATGTGATTCAATTTATGTCGATTTGCAGGAAAGGCAAAACTGTACGGCAGAGAACAAACATATCAGTGGTTGCTTAGGATTAGGAGTTGGGGACTGACCACAAAGGGGCAGCATGAGGGAATTTTAGAGGGCAATGGGACGGTTCTGTATCTGGTTGGTAATTGTGGTTATACAACTATGCATTTATCAAAACTTAGAGAACTTACATAAGAGTGAATTTTACCATATGCAAATTTTTTTTTAAGTGTGGCAGGCAAAAATTCATTTTCTAAGAGTTTACCTTTTGGTGACTTTGAGAATTTTCCAGAAATTTCTAAGAAATACGTCTGTTTTCTTTCCCAACAGGGGATCCTATGAGTGAAGAAGACATGCTTCAGGCAGCTGTGACCATGTCATTAGAAACTGTTAGAAATAATTTCATAACAGAAGGAAAAAAATAATACCTTTTGCGAATCATTTAGATATTCATACTTTCCAACATTATCCTTTGTTATTACAGCATAAGGGTCCATTTTGGTAATGTCAAAGAGAATAATGTTCCACAGAGGAATAAGGCTCTTAGGTGGTTTGCAACAAAAAAGATGAGAAAACGGGAAAATGTATCAGATGTAGGAGTAAATAATGATCTTCCAAACACTAGCCAAAGAGGCATTTAGCAATTAAATAAATTTAAAATAGTTTTCTAAATGTTCCTTTTTCTTTTTTGAGTGTGCAATATCAAACATGTCTAAAATTAGGGCATTTTTCTTGAATCTTTTTACAGACCAACTAATTAGCTCTTGCCACAGAACTTTTCCCATACATTGTGTTTTCTTTGCCTCCCTTCTTGGTAGGTAATTTGGCTCACTTTTGTCATCTAACAGTTGCTTTTATTTCTCATGACCTTTTTCGGTTAGTGTATCTTCCCTGTTGATAATGGTAACGGTTCCATGTTCTCCCTCCAGCTGTGTATTGTGCACTTGGATGTTTCTCGTGTTATTTTCTCTGCTACTTGGGTCTCATTTTTTTACAACTCTTATGAAAAGATGGTAATCTTTCTGAGGTTTTGCTTTTTAAGCCCTCTAAAGATGGGATCATTATTTCATGGTTCTGGTGCATTTATTAAACTCTGAAATCAGCCCTGCACAAGTATTTGAGAATAAATGAGAATTTTTTAAATGTGTGGGCACATCCTTTCCCAGATGCTTTATGAATATCTTCTCAGTTATGTCAGAACTTCACAACTTTATTGTAACCCTCTTCCCTGCACTTACTCCCTTTCTTCTCCAGCTGAGAAAAAGAGAAGCATAGTATGCAAGCAAGTTTCCTTCTGAGACAACATATGATACCCACAATGAATGTATGAAAGACAAAATTTGGCCTTCAATTTTAGTAGCAGTTTCATTTTATTTTTCCTCTTGCGACTGGGGCTGTCCATTCTGTTTACAGTTGAGTCATGGAATGTAGATGTCTGCTTCTGCTGTCCATCTTTTAGTAGGTATAGGTTGCTGGAGATGATGAACACAAAAATAATTTCCTAACAAAAACATATAAATTTATACAGTGATTCGGCATTTGCATTATGTATGGCTTAAGAATTATAGAAGCCACACAGTACTTGATGTGTCTGTAAATAAGAAAGTCTTTAGTTTTGATAAACCTTCTTTAATTGGGATGCATAGTTTCTTGCTGGGTCAGTAGTGAGATGATTTAGGTTAAATTAACCATGTCTCTGAAATGGGCAGTTTAGATTCTGTCACTTATTCCCTATCCCTCTTTCTCCATCCCATCTTGAAGCCCTTTTGAATGTTGAATTGTTCATAAGCTAAAATTTAAGAAATTTCAGCCAACAATTCAGAAAATTAAAGTATGGTGTGTTGCCATACCTGGTGTATGGCTGCATGCATTTTATCAGGGAAATTTTGATGTAGGATTTATTGCTGAGTTGAGAAGAGATGAGAAAATGCCTTTTATGATTACAAAATAGCTTTTTTTGGATAGAGACATATTTTTAGTCACTATTTTGTGCCAAATAAACTTTTCTGATATTTCCCTTATATAAAATTAGACAGTTTTACTTTAAAATCTAAAGTTTTCTTTTGACAATTGAAAATGTTTCAGAATTGTAAAACTCTTGAACTTCATGGCATGTTAGAGTTTAGTGCTATTCCCTCAAGATTTACAAACCAAAATATTTTAAGACTGCACATCTCTAATTATTTTCCATAGATATTTGACTTTTACCTTTTCCCATTGAAAAGTTGTATTAAGTTTTTCATACATTTGACTTGATGAGCTACCAAATATAAAAATGAGAAAGTGAATGTGCATTTGAAAGTTTTAACCTTGGGAGTTTCTATATAAAATTGTTATACACCCTTGTTAAAGCGCTTAAGGGAATATGGCATATTGCCTTCATTTGTTAGGGATTTTTTTAAAGCAGAGCTGAGCACACACTGGATATATTTGAAAGTGTTTATTTAGTTTGTTGTGGTATGTTACATATGGTAGGCAGATCCCTAATTACTAGTGAACTGCCATCTTGTTAGGATTGGCTTATATTTAATTGAACATTTATATTATATTTCTTAATTGTCCAGTATAAAAAGATGCCAGTGCTCATAACCACAGTATCAGAAAATTTGAAACTTAACACAAAGCTATAGTTTACACATCAGGAACTGCTGTTTACATAAACCACTTGCAAGAAAGAAACAACAAAACTCACAACAACTGTCCTGCTAAGAACTTTATGTAAAGATTTCCATTCTGTTTTACCAATTGGGAACACTTTAATGTTTAATATTTAAACTATTGGTATCATTTTTCTAATGTATAATTTGTGTTACCAGGATAAAATATATACAGTGGTGATGCTAATGTTAAAATTTAAACAAACTTTGGAAATACCACTTTAATATTTTGAGATATCATAGATTTAATAAGTGGTTATGTTTTAAAAACTCAGAACAGTTAACCTCTGATCTAAAACCATTGATAAACATTTTTACAGTAACATACAAATATTTCAGTAATGTAAATTGAAAAGACTGCTGCAGGTAAACTATAGTTCAACCTTAAGATCTTGTAATTTACAATTCACAGAGTATTTAAGAAGGTGCTTTTTTTTTTCATTAAAAATTTATTTTTCCTAAGACTTTATTCATGCCAAAGTTAATGAGGAAAAAAGCTCAAAACTAGTTGAGGATCATTATAGGCAAAACTACCAATACTCTATATTACTTTATTTAATATTAAGTTTAATAAAGTAAAGTTTATTCCTGTCAGAGCCTAAATCATGTTTTTAATGTCTGCATGTTTGATACTATTTTTAAATAATATCATGCTAGTGCCAAGATTTACTAAATGTTTTTAAATTGTCCCATTGGACCTGTGCAAATTTAAAAGATATAGTGCATAAGCAAAATATAATGATTAGCGAGATATCTTCAGTTGAAACATATTTCTTGATGTTTTAAATTCTTAAGAGGAGTCAATAATTAGTATTGATGACTTCCTGTTAAAAATTTTCTCTGCAATTGAAGAGCTCTGTGGCGCTATTTTTAAAGTAAACTGTTCTTCTATGTGGGCCCTGACAAGTACAGAGATGTTATATATGTGATTTTAATTAAGAAAAACCAGATTGGATCGACTTATCATTTCAGCAGTGTAAATCGTTTTTCATATTTTTTAAATAAAAACTTTCCTTCATTCCTGGTCCCTTTATAACTAGCATTTTTGTGAAGGAAATGAACAGCTTATTTTGTTTATTAAAGTCTTATACATCAATATTTTTGTTGCATTGTTCTTCCATGAATGAAAATAATATTGACATGGTTTGATAATTTTTGAATTGTGATTTTTTTTAATTTGAAGAAAACCTTTGCTATTTTTATTTTTGTCTAAAATGGTCTGGCATTTTAAGAACTAGTGCTAGTAACATTTCTAAATTTACAGTAATTGGCATGTTTAATAATAGTGCATCAATAAATATTTTTAGACTGGATTCATAGACAAGGAGTGGGAAGCAGTAGTGAAATATATATGGGAATTACTGATTTGTTTAGGAAGTATTTCAGTTGTCTCTTGCATAATTCGAAGGTGAATGTTCCCAGGCTTTTTTTTTAATACTTTTTTTTGGAAAGAGGAAACCTTACAACTTATATTTGAATGTGATTGTCTAATTTCTACAACACTGGACTACTGGAAATAATTTTTTAAAAGTCACTGTTCTGTATAAAAAAATTATTTGAAATTGAAATACAAAAAACATCTTAAATAAAAAGATTGTCTTTTGGCCATGACACAAGTACACTGTGACAGCGCGGTCTGCTCAGGACCCAGCTCTGCAGCCCTTGTGTGTGTGCCCTTCTGAGTTCTGTTACTGTTAGACACACAGGACTCCTGTCTGGTCGTTGGAGAAGCCGGGCTTCCAAAGCACTGTTGAACACTGACAATGGAGATGTTCAATGAGTCGTATTTTAAATATAAAAGATTATTAAAGATGTTTGCTTTTTTATTTCTGTTGTGTTTTTTGTTAATTCATAACCTTGCTAGTGAAAGTATGATTGGAGGACTAGCAGCCTCTTCACCATGGAAAGCAGTTCAGAAATGGACTTTCAGGCCATGCTCCGACCTACAGCATCAGAACCTGCATTTTTTAATATGAGCCCTGGGAAGTTCAAGTGCAGAGTGGAGCTTTGAGAAGCACTGTATATGGACTGCGGTGGTGAGTAAACCAGGCCAGGCGAGCCCAATAACTTCCAGTAACTGCTGCCAGAGGGCCCGTTAGTACTGGGTCCTCTGATCTTTTCTAATAGAACCTAAGAATTTCACATTGGTATTTGGAATCTGATTTTTAAGTGTTAGCTCAATTGTTTTTACCCTGAGGGCCAAAGTACATTAGTAACAACTTTCAAGAGTGCTGTTTTTCTCTCATTGTATCCAGCTGTGGACACTGGAATCCACCAGGACTGACAGGATTATAGAATCCTCAGATTTTATAATTATGGTACTGTGTCCATTTTAGCCTTAATTAGGGTTGGGCGCATTTTGAAACAAAATCAGATTGATTATGTGGACTTTTTAGGACAACTTCATAGCATAGTGCTAGGAAGGACCAATTTATTGAATTTGGATGCCACCAAATGAGTCTGATACCAACATTAATCTGTGGGGTCCATGAAAAAATAGTTGATTTGAAGACCTATTTTATGTTAGCTAAAAACTATGGAAGGGTATGTGGAGTGGTCCTTATCCTGAAGATTTGCATGTTCTAGGACACATTTAACTGTTTTGTGCCTATGTCACCAAATGCTCGAAGTTCATTTTATAAGTAATTTGGGTCCAGCCAACCTCTTCAGCCTATCCTCTCGACATTCCCCCTTTACACGTGGTCCTGGCAGACCTTCAAGCCAGGCCCTTTACCACTTCCAGGCTGTAACACCCCTCGCCCTATTTCTTCTGCCCTTTACTCTCCCTACCCCTAAAGTTCACTGGCCATCCCATGCTATTTAGACTCTTTGGACTACCACCCTTTGCTATATCCTGTTCTCTCCCAAGTTTGTTCCAGTTCTTGTGTCACCTTTTGTTTCATGGGCTGGTAGAAAATTCCTATGTCATTCACTCACTCAAGAAAGCATTTGAGCACTTGCCATGTGCCAGGCATGGTCCTGGATTCCTGGAACAGGACCAGGAGCAAGACACTGCTCTCATGGTGCTTACATTCTGGTTTGCTGTTAGGTAAAGGAAACATTTTAAGTCAACAAACATGACTTCCTGACACACAAAGATCTCTGCTTGTTCCGTGAGGTAGGAAGATGAACAGGATGATGGGACAGAGTGTGACCAGGACGGCGGGCCCCTTGAGTCTGGGTTCAAGAAAAGCTCTGCAGAGGTGACATTCAAACAGACACCTGAAAATTGATTAGGCAGTAATGCCAAGGTGTGGTGCCATATATGTGCCTGCAGAAACAGCAAGCACTAGGACTCTGAGGTGGGGTTGGGGTGGTGCTTGTCTCAAGAAACAGAGAAAAGGCTGAAGAGGCTGGCAGGTGGATGAACAAAAGAAACTGAAAGGCAGGCAAGATGTTATCCTGTAAGGTTTTATAAATAAAGAACTTTATTATACCAAGCAGTCTGGCTCCATTTTCTAGAATATTCCCAAGCCTTAAAAAAAAAAATATTTAAAAAGACCCATTTTAACTATGTCCCCCAAAGTGCCCACCAGTGTCCACTTTAAGCAACCCCCAAAATGGTTGAGTTTCTAACACTGAAGATACTGTTTCACCTGCCTCAGATCAGAGTTTTAGCAAGACTTTTGTTCCCCACTTGTGCATTTTGTTTTTCTTCCTGTTAAATCTGTGCAATTGTTTTCATCACTGTCAGACAACCATAGCTCAGTTTTGAGAACTTAGCATCATATTTTGGTGGTTAATCCACATCATCAAAGATTAATAACTGGCTATCTCCCAGTGTGCCCCTCCTGTCTTTCTCATCAACTTTTAGGTGAGGACATCATCATATCATGTACACTTTTGTGCAGTAACAGCTGCTCACTTGACTTTTGGCTTCACTGATTTTGAATTCAGCTTTCCCAAAACCTCTTAGCCGCTTCACTCCAATTACCTTAAAAGTGAATCTTCACTATTGTCAACATGCCTTTATACGAAATAACATAAATACTGGAAAAGATGCCACATTATTATTTGATATGATTATTTGGTATTTGATATGTTGGTATGTATGCCTAGGCAACTCAAGGAAATTAACTGAAAAGCTACTGGAGCTAATAAAGGAGATCAATAATTCAATCAGATGCCCAATAAATACATAAAAACACATAGCTTTTTGTTTACCAAGTGTTATAGCAATAACCTGTTAGAAAATAAGATGGAAAAAGACCAAGGCCAATAATATCTAATCCTTGGAATACCAATGAAGTACTTGGTTCCAAGCTGAGGAGAGTGGATTGGCTCTTGTCTCAGCCCAGAGCCATACACTGCCACATGGGCACCAAGCAGCTCATCTTGTGCCCAGAATCCTGCTGAGTCAGTTCAGTCAGGTGTCAGCGTTCATCCCTTCAGAGTGGCTCGAACCCAGCGTCAGAGGCCAGGAGGGAGCAGGTATCATGCAGTCTCCATTGCTTTCCTGCCTTCTCTAGATAGGACAGTTCCTTCAAAAGCTGTGTTTTATTCTGCACAGGGGCAGCTCTGTGTCCACCACTGAAAACCCTTTTACCTTCTCATGCCCAAAGCAGATTTCATTTCTTCGAACCATCATCTCAAATGTCTTCCAGGGTCTTCCAGCTAAATACAGAGGATTACTCTGTGATTGCAGTTACATGAAGACCCTGGAGTAGTCAAATCATAGGGACAAAAGGTAGAATGGGACTTGCCAGAGGCAAGATAAAGGGGAGAAAATGACGTTATTGTTCAGTAGCTACAGAGTTCAGTTTGGGAAGATGAAAGTTCTAGAAATGGATGATGGTGATGGCTGCACAACAGTGTGAACGTACTGAGCTGGAATGTATTGAAGGTACTGAACTGAAATGCCACTGAACTGTATACTTAACCATGGTTAAAATGGTAAAATAATAAGTATATTTTATCACAATAAAAAAAGTGATCAGTTATTTACTCTCTTCTAAAATCCCACCTAAATGAAGAAAAGAATAATATATAAATACACATGTAGAGACACCAGGAGATGGGATGCATTCATTGGATTAGCTTTGGCTGTCATAGAAAAACCTAATATAACAGTGACTTTAGAAACTATACGGGTTTTTACTCTCTCATGTTCAGGTAATGTAGATTGCCAATGCAGAGCTGATAAGCCATCATACAGTGTCAGGAATCTGCTTTCTGTGTTCTTGCTTTCCATACATGGCTTCCACTGCTATGGTTAACTCATGGTTAACGATGGCTGTGGTGCCCATGATTATACCTGCAGTCCAGTGATCAGAAAGTGAAGGAAGTGTGGAAGAAGGCCATGTGCCCTTTCTTTAAGGTTACCACCTCTACGCACCACCTATAATACATGAACTAGACCTGAATCATATGGTCACTCCTAGCTAGAAGTTGGTTTTTAGTCTGGATGGTCATGAGTCTTAGCCTGCGCATCCTAGAGGCAGATCCTGGGATGAGGATTCCTGTGAAAATGATTTCTTAAAAAGTGTTCCCTGGAAGAAATGAAGGGGGTTTCGGTGGGTAAGGGGGCAGGATAAGGAAAGGAAGCCAGGCAAGGGTGTAACAGTAAGCAACCGCTCAGTCCTGCAGGGGGGTCCAGAGGCAATATGCGTTCATCTTAGGGTTGTCACAACCTGGGAAGGGGAGCTGTGACACATTAAAATACTGCTGTCTGAGGTTGTGTTGCAGCTCTTGGGCACACAGTCAATGTGGACTCTGGCAGCTTAAAGGCAGTCAGTCTTCTGTCACAGAGAAATAGGTGCAGGCTGTTAGGAGGAAAGCACCCCAAGAACAGATGTGCACGAAAATGGTAAAGGGATGAGGGATCTGAAGAAGCAGTGACACCCGGGTAAAACGTGAGGGGTCAATTACTATGCATGACAGGGAAACAGACTTTGGGGGAACAATTAGCCATCCCTGCTAGGTAAGGCAGCAGCAGAAGTGAGACGTGCGTACTTTGCTTCAGATGAACAGTCAATACAGGAATGAAGAGGCTGAATGCTAAGTGTTCAAGAGACGTACGCCCGACAGGACACAGGAAGTGAAAGCAGCCTCTGTCTCGGAAAGTGGAGGTGAGAGGTGAAGTCATGGGATTGGTGAAAAGTCTCTGAAAAAAACAGCAGATTACCTAGAAAGGATACATCCATCAATAAAAAAATATTTTAAATAATTTTCAAAATTACAAGGTACGATTTTTGAAAGGGTTTGCTGAGTGCCCAGCATAATGAAAGATAAAATAAAACAAACCTATGCCGAGGCGCATTTTATTAATTTCTGAGCATCAGAGGTAAAGAGAAGATTCTAGAAGCTTCCAGAAGGAAAAACACAGAGAATAATCAAGGAAGAATGGAGCAGGAAAACAGAGCTCTGGGTAGAGAGACTGAGTCTAAGTGAATAATAGAATTTTAACGTTTTCTTGAAAACAGAATTTAGGACCATGTTTTACAATTCTGTTGGTAAGTTTTGGAAGGATTAGCAGTTCTGTAGTAACAGAAAATTATGAAAATTAAAAATACAGAATCTGTTAACTTCAGGAAGAAAATAAGTTGAAAAATTAAGGAAATACCATCTTAGTACACCACTTGGCTCAGCAATGAACACTACTGATGTAGTTATATAAAGGAAATATCAATTATTGATTTTACCAAATCAGTATGATTATTACTATATTGAGAGCTCAGAGGAAGGAAAGTGGAGGGAAGGGGTGACACAAGGGTGTTAATTCTTTTTTCCATAAAAGAAAGTCAGTAGACATGTCTAAAATTCATGAGAATATAGCAACTTTAAGCATTATATTTAGAAATTCAGAGGGCAAGATGGGACTAATATT